ATGATAATTGGGGTAGTCCAGTTTGAGAAACGCACTGGTTGCAGAACGCCCAATTCCTCTAGCCGTTGGAGTTTATCACCCACTCGTGACATAATTGGTACCTGTCGGGCCCGAATGTAGATAGGAGGAACGGAGTTGTCCATTTCCAGGTGAACCGGCGGGCCCTTGAACTCGCCCAGATCTGTATTATTCCACTGAAGCGCCGGGTGTGACGTCCATGGAGAAGATCGAACCACTGTAGTCCCGACACTCGCAAACCGAGAGCGGGGAATCAGCTTCGGCCAAGCAAGCGATGTTCTCTGCAACCGTCAACCACGATAAGTGGTAGCACCGCTGCCCGGTTCCGAAATCTGACTTCCATATTCTTGGCACCCAAAATTTGTATGGGTTTGTTGCTGTAATCACCAAGTTGAAGTCCTGGTACCGGGTTTAATGTTGTTGCTTCGGGCCATAACTGAAGAAAGGTATTCTTGTGGACAACTGACACCGCTGCCCCCGAGACAACTTCCATCGTCAACGGCTTTCCATTGACAACAACCTGAACCATGATTGCAGAAGAAGAGGCAGAAGGTGAAGGTTGAGAAGATTTCTAACGTTGAACAAGTAGTGTCCAGCAGGTAGGCCGGAAGTTGGAGCGTGGGGGTGAGTATTCCCCGATAAGGCGGGGTCCGGCTGAACCTCCTGTTTTCGTGTCCCTTGTATCTGACCCGCTGGCACACTAGCAGATTCACCGCTGTCGGACACCCTGAAAACAGACTCTTGTACATTTTGAGCCGCAATTTGATTTGACTTACCCTTTTTAAAAATTTTTTGCCGAGAATTGTGGCAAATTTTTGCGACATCACGGGTCTTGTTACATGTGCAAATCAAGGACAATGGGTCCATCATGCATTCAGAAACGGTGACTTCCAGCGCAGCGAAAACAGATGATGCCTGGTAACTGTGTCCCCATAGGTCCTTGGGCTCTGTCTGATGCCCAAAGGACGGAAGCTGCCTCTGAAGTCATTTCACGGACGTGTTGTAACGCAGTCTCCGCTCGGGATGCCATTTCGACTGCATCATTAAGAGTTAAATTTTGCAGCTGCAGCAGATGAGTTCTCAAATTGACATCCTTCAATCCTCACACAAGTTGGTTGAGAATCATATTATCTAATAAGGCTCCGAAACCGCAATCTGCCGCGAATCTACATTGCTGCGTCGCGAATTCACTAACGGAGAGGCCGCTCTTCTGCATGCAATGGTGGAATCTATAGTACGCTACAACCTCGTTTACTTGCGGGAGAAATGATCGGTTAGGCTTTTTGTAATATCGACGAAATTGACTTCATGGACTTGTCGCGGTTGAACAAATTACATGCCAAATTATACAGTCGCTCACCGCAAATGGTGAAAAAATGTGCTCTTTTCAGGTTAGCGTCACTTATGTTCACGGCAGTAAAATTAAATTGAAGTAATTTTACCCACCTCGGCCATTCCATTGGGCGTGATATATCAAACACTTTCATGTTTGAAGATGACGCAACGGACGTGGTTTGAGCCATGGAGACTGTCGACGTGGATGTGGACGCATCTTCTGCTGTGGTCACCGGCATTGCGGAAGAAGAACTCGTGAACGTTGAGAAATTGATGACCGAACCTCAACACCCGCGTGGCGTATGCCCGTCGCTAATCACTCGCGAACGTCATTGCAATTTTTGTCGACAAAGTTTTAGACAGTTTCGAAAAACTCGAATCACTTTTATCCTCGTCGCCAATATGTTGTGTTCGTGCAGGTATTATTGAAGTCACATTTCTCGTTTAACAAACCACTCTTTATTTTAACATAACTAATTGAATACAAAGTGACACAAGAACAACATCTGTGTTGGCGTTGGCTGTGGACACGACTGCGGGAGAAGCGAGGTACAACTACCGATCGTGCATCATAGATGGCGACACTGACTAAGCGTGTTTACAACAGTTTGTTTAAGATAAAAGCATTCCCCATCTGCAAAAGCCTAATCGGCTGCAGATAAATACTATTGTAGTCCCTAAAGCGAAATAAATTCTCGCCTCTCCAGGGCACCTGGAGATGGAAAAAAGGAGGGAAAACACAGTTGTTAGATTGGTTACTGCTACTACAATGGCAGGTTATCACGTTTTAAGAGTTTGAACGTGGTGTTAATGTCGGCGCACGAGAGAGAGATGAAATTTGGATTTTTCCGTACAATCATAACACGAATGTATCGTGTTTATCCGGAATCAGGTAAAACATCAAACCTGCGGCATCGCTGAGGCTGCAAAATGATCGTTCAAGAACGGGACCGACGACGACTGAGAATCATTACACGTGAGAGTAGCGCAACCCTTCGGCAAACTGCTGCAGATTTCAATGCTGGGTCATCAACAAGTGTCAGCGTCCGAACCATTCAACGCGACATTATCCAAATGGGGTTTTGGGCCCATATCGGTAATGTATGACTCCTGATGATTGCACAACACAGAGCTTTACACCTCACCTGGGCCCGTCCACACCGACATTGGACTGGAAACGCTTTGCATGGTTTGACAAGTCTCGTTTCACATTGTTTCGAGCGGATGGACGTGTACGAGAATGGCGACAACCTCATGAATCCAAGATCCTTGCATGTCAACAGGGAACTGTTCAAGCTGGTGGAGGCTGTGATGATATGGGTCGTGTGCAGTTGGAGTGATAGGGGACCCCTGCTTACACGTATGTAAGCATCCTGTCTGATCACCTGCACCCATTTATGTCTATTGTGCATCCCGACGAACTTGAACAATTCCATCTGTACAATGTGACAGACCACAATGCCAAAATTGCTCTAGGAATTCTCTTCAGAATTTAAACACTTCCTCTGGCCTCCAAAATCCCCAATAAAATTATTGAGCATATCTGGGAAGCCTTATAACGTGCTGTTCAGAAGAGACTTCCACCCCTCGTAATCTTACGAGTTTATGGGCAGCGCTGCAGGTTTCATGGTGTCAATCACCTCCAACACTACTTCAGACATTAGTCAAGTCCACGCCACGTCGTGTTGCGGCACTTCTGCGTGCTCGCGAGGACCCTTCATGATATTAGGCAGGCGTACCAGTTTCTTTTTGCTCTTCAGTGTATGTGAGTGTATGAACCAGTACTTCCGTTGGTTATGAATTTCGCAGCAGATTTTTATACTACTCCTCAGAATGCCCGGTGAGATATGTCATATACCATTTAATATTATCTGACCTCCAAAAAAAGTGACTGCGTATTGTATAAAAGAAAAAGGTACATTAACGATATAACTTCAATAATTATGCCCGCGAAAGTTCATAAGAGCCTGTACTAATTTAATTGGATTATTAGATTTATTTATCAACCCTTGTATGATGTACTACGACTAACCGATACAAGAAGTTGTAACCTGAACACAGATGGATATAAGCATTTTTACAAAGAATTATTATTCGCCAAGCGATTGCCCATGGTTTTGACAAAGCTTCGCTGGCAACAGTTTTGCTTGCTATCTTCTGTATAATTTGCTGAGAATACTGTCAGTCAAATGTGTTCCCGATGGTTTCATTAGTTAAAGTAAAAAATTATTGCCGCTCCTTAGAATTGGACGTTTTCAAGTATTGGCTAGGGTATAAGTAGCGCAGAAATTGTGACATTGCAATATTACGTAGCTGTTTCTACAAAACACACACACACACACACGCACACACATATGTTACAACGGATTTACCACAAAATTGATGAAAAAATATTTCCAATATTTAAATTATTTACGTTTTAAAACAACTTATGCTAAAATATTGAAATATCTAATTAAGACAAAAGGAAATATTTAGACAAATGTAAAAAAAAATAAATCGATGTTCGATCGGATAATCGAATACCCCTCTGCTCCTATGTTTACACAGCCTCAAACCCACTCCCTGTTAAGCGTTACGTAATTTATGGACGACCCCTAATATGGAATTTTGTGCACACTACAGCGGCAGTACTACCGATCTTCTGCACATGCGCAGATGCACTAATGATGCAAAACTTGAACTGCGCATGCAGTTTTCATAAATTTCTTTCAAATGCATATTTCTTTCTTTTTTTATGTCTTTCATACATATTTCTTTCAAATTCGAGGGTTCTAGAGGTCAATCAGATCGATTACTAATTTTCGAGAAAATTGTCTGAGCTTTGACCACGATCAAACTTTAAGCCGTAAACAAATTTTTCGATGTTCACCTACAACAAAAAGAGAATTCTGACGACACAACATATTAGAATAAGTACTTTAGTACAATAATCCACAATAATTATCCACTTCTTCGCTAGAAGGCCCCATCAATACGAGTCTAAGCCGAAAATTGACACTTTCTCTACATTAGGTAAGTGCAGCAATTCGGTACTTTCTCTTCATTAGATAAGCGATATGCGAGAAAAACCACAAGGACACTGAGAACAATTATTGGATTGTACTATTTACCCATGATCACACTAGAGCTTAAGAAAATGTGCGTACGTTGAAAGTTAACCTACTTTTTATTTTCGTAGCGACTAGGTACCATACTTCAGAAATTGCTTTCTCTCATTACAACTGCGAACAACCCTACTGTACAAGATATAACAAAAAACTTATTCGTCGACGCCTCACTTAAATATATCAGATAGCGAATTGTTTATCCGATTACAACCCGAAAAACACTCTCCATCACCCAACAGTGGAGGAATAGGAAAGGCACTTATTGCAAAAAGGTGCCACGTCTCATCAAAATGACTTAAGGGTGAAATGTACGGTCTGAAATCATTTTAAAATTACTACTCAAACTATTTTTTTAAGACAATTTAATTTTGGAATTTTCAAAAAGCTCCTGCAGAATTTGATTTTTTAGAAACATTTTTAATATAGAGCACCCCTTTTAAAAAATCAAACTATCACATCAGGTGAAGGATTTATAAGACAGGTAAATAAAATTTAATAATGTATAATGTACTGATTCTTTATTTCCTTTTTTATTGTACACACACACAACGCGTGCACGCACACACACACACACACACACGCACACCAAAAAAGAATTTGGAATTTATGTACACACAAACATGATACTTATAAGTCTCATTACATTTTTCCCCCTTCAGAATATAGTACTACTGTTTAGAAATATTTATTGCACTATGTAATATTTCCATGTATTCATAAATTAATCATTAGAGCCTAAATTAAATTTAAGAAATCAACTTTATAACCAATAAATTAATTTGCAATTTATGCTGACCTAAGTTCATGTACATTATAATTTAGCAATTTTCTTTTAAATATACTATGTCACAGAACATGATATACTTATAAAGGCTGTGAATTAAATGTTGAAAGGAAGTATGTCAGGAGCATATCTACAACAATGCATCTTCTAAACCTTCAGAATAATCTTGTTTACGAAATCAACAAATCTTTATCAAAATCAGTAATCTGTATTATCAACTATCTACAACACTTTAAAATATCTGTATCTGAATTTTAAAAATATTAGTATTTTCCTCACATTCATTTTGTCTTTATATTTTGAATGTCAAGATTCTAGGAAACAATGACCTGAATTTACACACATTTGCACATGATATTGCTTAACTCATTAGGCTAGAAACTACTACTTCACCAGATATGAAAATAGCATGAAGGAAATTGGAATATAAAGGAATGAAAATAGTATGCATGAACTTTTCAATACACATCAGGGCTAATGGCCAGTATTTTATTCATTACTATCAAAGAGATGCTCACAACCGCCATACTTGAAAGCTATTTCTCAAACTCAAACAATATGCAGAAATATACAATGTAATACAAACAGTATCTCCATTACATTTACTGCATATAATGTCAAAGTAGCCAAGCTTGAAGACAAATGGTGAACTACAAACATATTTTACAATATTAAAGTTTAGTACCAAAATAAATCTTGATACACTGTATATGAATATATAGCAGCAGCCACAGCAAGCACAATGGCAATTACTAAATAAAATTGGCAGTACTTGAAAAATACATTTTAGTTCACAAATTACTAAAAGCATGTTGTACTAACCAAAACATTAAAAGAAATATTTATGTTCCATAATGTCAAATAATTGGGAAAAATTGACATAATCGCTTAAGTGATTGTTTTAATTCTACATTATTCTTTGTAAGCTCATTCCTGAGATTATCATAGTTTCATTTAGTACAGCTAAAAATGAAGTTAAGATTTAGTTTTAAGGGCAAATGTAATTATCATTCTTTTGGTAAAGAAAACGTGTGCATTTGCAAACCTGCAAACATATTCCATCATCTGGAAACAAACTAAACTTTCATTGTTCCAAACACCACAAAAATAATGTGCATTGCTGAGACTACGTATCAACAAACCCATAACAGTTTTAATACATTCGCATAATACTTTGGTTTATAACAATGATAATTATGGAATGACCTTCACAATATATTACATTTGTTCTGTAATCTATTTCCTCCTTAAAATACATGTTTAAAATAATTTAACTCCGGAATGTTCAAACATAAATGCATTTCTATTTAAAGAAAATAAAACAATGGAATTTAAAAATAATACTTCATTGGCATGCAAATTTTAGAATCACGGATTCTCTAAACAAGAATTATGGCAAGCCAAATGTTAGCATAAATTTGTATAAATGATAAGTCCTTCATGAAGCATCACACACAGAAAAGATAAAAATAATATGTAATGGTGAATGTCTTACAAGTAAATAACGGACTAGACAGAACAACAAAATGTGTCCTAGAGATATCACAAACCACAGTGCAAATTCACAATTAACCATTGAATAAAGACCTCCATTTTCCATTTGCCTTCGATGTTCTTGATATAAAACTAAACATTCTGAACCAAGAAACAGCAAAATTGTTATAGAAAAGAAACTTGTATTCATGTACTAAATTTACATGGTTGAAAAATTAACATCCAAAAGAATGTTATTAATGTGCACATAAATAGCAAATGAATTACATCACAATACTTACATCTCACAATCAGCTAAATGCAATTTATTTCTCTCTAATGATAATATCACTTATCATTTTACATGAAATAGGAATTGTAACATTGCAGCCCTTAAAACAACTTAAGAGATAGCAAAATTCCCTCCAACTTTGTTCATTAATTTTAGAACAAGGCAAGAATTTGCAAGTCAAATGAAAATTAATTTTATTATTTTGCAATTGAAAGAACAGGAAGGTACAAGAGAACAGTTGAGAAATTGCAAATGTAAGGCTTCACTTTGGTCTGAAGTAGTAGACTCAATATGTATTCGAAGCTTGTATCTTCCCTATGCCAGTCCACTAAGGATTCTAAATAAAGAAAAATTTCAAAATCCTAATGAAGATGACAAGACCATTTGAATGGTACTTTATAAATAACATGAAGCATAACACCACAATAAATATGTTGTAACAAAAACATTTGTGCCTGTATATTCTTCATTGCATTGGCAGGTGTCATTCCAGCAACATATTGTTTTTATGATTCATATTCGTTCCACTTGAATAAAAATTCTAGTAATATGCTTCCAACTTCGTAATAGTCTTTAAAACGGTATATTACCTACTACATACTAAAACACTGATGAAGTTGAAGAATCATTAAATAATAACTGGATGACCTGACCAATGAAACCAGAATATATATTTCTCCTGTAATAGATTTAAGCAAATAACTAGATGTAAAGGCCCCCAATCCTCAATGAACTTTGGACTTGGATTCTATGTATTTAGTGGATGTGATACCATTAGTTGAGCCAGTCTTAGATTTTTTCCCATTTCCAAAATAAGCTTTCTGGAAAAATCTTGCAAATAAAACAAAATAACTAAAGTACATAGCTATTGACAATTTAATGTTAGTGCGAGAAATATGGCATTCTTGTTGCCCACTTTCCAAAATTTGAAGGGCCCAGAAGTTGACAGCACAGCCTAAAACCATCTGTATCAACTGGCAAGTTGTAATCAACATTGCAAAGGAACGAGGAGGAGAATACCCCATTGACCGGAGAGCATAATAAGAATACATTATCGAATGAACACAGTAATTCATAACAATGAACCATCGAGCAGAAGCAGTGTATTCTGTGTATGAATACCAGGAATACATAAGAACAGTAATATGGTGATACCAATGAAGGAAGATTAGTGGCTGTTTCCGCAAGACTATGAAGACTGTATCTCCTAGTTCAGGAAGTTTTGACAGCACAAACATCCATGACCAGAATCCTGATACACGATCTTGTTCAATGAAACTGAAGAGGGAAAAAATTGAATACATTAATTTGCAATTTTATTAAACAAATACAACCCATTCAATATTTTTTTGACTAGATGTACAAGAATTACATCAAAGGAAGAGCATATCATTAGGAACCACTTACAGAAGACATTTTCTTACCTGGGAATACAAACAGAATGGTATAATCCGTAGTTTTTAAGAACATGAATGAACTCTGGTAATGTTCTGCAAGCTCCAATTATACTAAATGCTGCCAGAGCTGTATTCCATAAAGAGAGCACTCCTCGTAGTTGAAACCGTGGCCGACTTTGCATATAATGTTGTCCACCAAATATTAAAATCATGTAAATTCCGCAGAAATAAAACCCGTTTGTCCAATTCTTCACCATCCATACTCTTGTATCTTGGTGTTTAAATTCTTCCTCGAAATTAAATACATACGAATAATTGGGTAAGGTTATTTCCAAGTAATTCATGATAAATAACAAATAAAACTTTCAAGTTTTGCACAAATCACTGAAACTAACTCTCTGCAATTAATTCATACAACGTTGCAAATGACAAGAGATCTCTCGAGGAAGACCTACTTTGCAGGCTTCTCAGCATGCGCTAATCCACCGGTACCCTCCCAGTCAATTTCCACCACAATCACAACAACCAATTATCAAGGAATGTAGTGTTCCGGGGCGCGTGTCGATCCTACAACTGTCACACAACTAACCTCCTCACCGCCTTCCCACCTTACACTACAACTGAAACATTGAGGCCCACTTGCTTGCTACTTATATGTGTGACACGGCGGGAAAGGCCCTCCTAAGCCCCTCCCGTTTCATTCAACCACCATTCCCCATTTCTCCAAATTACAACTTTACTCGCTAGATGGCATTGGCCATCAATCGATAAGAAATCTCAGTCATACATAGAAGCGCTATCTCCTAGCAGTTGACGTTACTATTTACGTTCGTTGCGCCTTGAAAGAAACATTTCTTATAAATAAAACCTAAGAACTTGAAATTGCATTGGGTGGAATGGGAGGGACACTCACTGAAATTTATAAATGAAACTACAAAAATGCGATATTATATGGATAAAAGCAAATATTGTTGAAGAATTATAGTACGTACCTGTAATATATTAATATAGTGAAAATTTATTATGATAGGAGGAAATTTTGATTTCTTGAGTAAAAAGAAAACGGTAAAAACTGTATGTGACATATAGGGAGAAGATAATCTGCGCACGTTTTGTTGAGTTCCAGAATCCCTTCCCATCATTTTAACTATAAAAAGTTGAAAGATGAGTGAAAGTTAAAGATAAATAAACAAACAAACATTAAATAAATAAATAAATAAATAAATAAATAAATAAATAAATAAATAAATAAATAAATAAATAATAAATAAATAAATAAATAAATAAATAAATAAAAATTTTAAAATCCCGAGATTAGCAATATTTGAAAAACTAGACATTTTCGTCTCCGAGTTATAGAAAACTTATTTGCATTCTTAAACGAATTGCAGATATGATTTTTCTGCATTGCTAACAAAATAGTAACACACCCTTACCTCTACTCCTACCATTACAAGCAAAAGGAGAATTCAACAAAACGTGAGCAAAGTAAAGTTATATTTACTTCCAGAAGCAAAACAAGGGGTCATATCAGCATGTCTTCAATGGATCAAGAAAACTGGACAAAAACCTGATCGAGATGGGGGTCATTGACCCGGAAGGTGAAGTACATTATTTGTTACAAGCATATATGTATAAAGTCTCTATTTTTAATTATACAAAACAAATGTAAACTAATTCTTTATATATCATAGTTTTGCTAAAATAATTATTATTTTTCTTTTTGGTCAGTGTACTCTCTAACAGTATAGTTATGCAGCAGAGAAGATTTTACTTTTAACTTAAAATTGTGTACCGACTTCAGTTGTTGAATATCATCTGGCAATGCGTTGTAAAGTAACGTACATGTTTTGTATGTGGAGTTCTGGTAGTGAGCTGTTGATACTGACACTTGAATGTGATTTCTACGTGTATTGTAATCATAAATATCAGTATTGCATGAAAATATGTTCCTACCGTTAGGTAAGTTAGATTTGACAAATATTACAGATTCGTAAATAAATAGGCAAGGCAATGCTAAGATTCAAGCTCAATGAAAAGAGGCTTGCAGGGATCACGCGGATGGCATTTTTTCATTATTCGAATAATTTTATTTTGCGATCTAAAGGTTTGGATACTACATGATGATTTTTCTCAGAATAGTATGCCATATCTCAGGCAGAAATGCACATTTGCAAAATACACGCAACGAGCTGCATGATGACTGATAGAATTTGAAAAAGTTCTGAATGCGTAACATAATGAACTCAATTTAGTGTTTAATTTTGTTATATGTACATTCCATTTCAGATTTGACTGAATTGTGATACCTAATAATGTTATTACCTGAACACCAGCTAATTGCATATTGTTAATTTTCAATGGAGCATGCGATTGCTGATTTGAAATGCAAAAGGGCATTGAAACTGTTTTCCTTCGTTAATTATTAACTTGTTGTTACAAAACCAATTTGAAACGTCTGAAATCGTACTATTTATTGTTTCTGTTTTGCAAAGAACATTCGTGTCATCAGCAAACAGAACTGTTTTTCCGTTTTTAATAGACGATGGCATATCGCTTACCTATAACAGAAAGAGGATAGGACCTAAGATCGAACCTTGCGGGACCCCATATTCAATTGGTAAAGAATTGGAAAGATAAGTAAATAATGTCCTTCATGGCAGTACGGTATTTCTATTCTTTGAGATCGATATTTAAGGTACGAGGTTATTCAATCTAGGACGATACCACGAGCATTTACTAGGCTGTCGACGTTTCGGTCGCCATTCTGCGACCTTCCTCAGGGCGTATTGCCCTTGGAAGGAAGGTCGCAGAATGGCGACCGAAACGTCGGCACCTTCGCCATGGACGCGGCGTCACCCAGACAGCCTAGTAAATACTGACTCCGGTCACGGAAGCCTACGCTCTTACGATACCACGAATTCCATAAGAAGGTAATTTTGATAGCAAGATGTCATGGTCAATTACGCCAAAGGCTTTCTATGGATCTAAAAATATTCCAATGGGTGCTTCACTTTGGTCCATTGATGAAGGAACATTTTTAAGAAAAGAAAAAAAGTGGCAGTTTCGTAGATTTTGATTTTCTAAAACCACGTTGCGAGTCTGAAAACTCTTCGGTTTTCCTGAGAAAAGTTTCTACACGCGTATAGAAAAGCCTCTCTAATATTTTTAAAAAACTGACGAAAGGGAAATTGGTCGGTAATTTTGAATTTCATTTTTGTTCCCTTTTTAAAAAGAGGCTTAATTTTTGCAGTTTTGAAAATATCTGGAAATATTCCTGCGCATAAAGAAACATTAAATATGTGAGTTAACGGGTGTATGAAGGCAGGTACACAAATTTTCAATAAACAATACGGAAATTCATCTAAACCAGATGAATATTTATTTATTAGTTTACTGAATATTCTCAGGATTTCGTTAGAAGAAGTTTCGGAAATTAACATCGTGTCGAACATTTTTTGGAAAGGTAATGATGTAGTAGTATATATAGTGAGATGTAGATGATAAAATGACGTAGTTGTATAGTAATTATGTCTACAATATTGTAATCTTCATGATAATATTTATAGATTCATTTTAGTCGCTGGTTTCCGTTGAAATCTCGAAGTCTATTTTCCGCAGCATTAACTTTCTCTATACTACGTATACTACTCCGTATATACGTACGTATACGAGAGAGTAGCTACTTGTTACAGAACGGCACACTCTCTCGTAGTAAAATGTTCCTTCGTGTGGGGTAGCTTTACAATTTTGCCCGAATCAACGGCTCCAAATTTTTCTTTATATTTCTTATAAAATTGGAGTCAATACGTTATAAAGAGCGATTTTCAGAGTTAACACTGAATTTTAGAAAATTTCAAAACTTTGAATTATTTCCGATATCTTCCTACACCTACAATATTAAAGACTGGAATTTTCCTTCAATTGAAATTTGTTGTTCGTAATATGTTCTTTCAATAAGGTCAGGTATATTTTTTGAAAATTTTTGTAGTTTTCTCGCAATATTGACTGCAATATTTGCAATTTTAAAAAATGACAAAAACAGTTTTTTTTAAAAAAACGGGTCCAATTTTTTTCTTAAACTTTTGGTATAGTGAAGGTGCTGAATGTACTGTGTAAGATGACATAAATGCAATTGTCTCTCGTTTTTGAAGTAATTATAAAAATGTAATTTTTTTACTGACCTCTCACGTCGTTAATTATTTACATTAGCGATTTCTCACATTATTACATTTAAGAGTAAATATGGTTTAAACGAAGTCTAATAAAGTTTTTCTTTAAACTCAATAGTTTTCTGTGAAAACGAGCTCAAAGTTCCGCATTTTCAGAAACGTCCAAACGCCCTTTTCTCAAAAACTGTTTCAAATTTCTCTTCAAACCTTTTGTACAGATAGTGCTTATTCCACTGTTTAAGATGACGTTCAATTAATTTTGCTGTATTTTTTTAAATTCAACAAATATAATTTTCTTTTAATATCTCTTCGTCGTTAATATAGACATTTCCAGCCATTTGAATACATTATTACATTTGCAAGTGAATGTTCTTCAAATGATTTCAAATGAAGTTTTTCAAAAACTCAATAGATTCCTATGAAATGCGCTTCAAATTTCGCAATTACATCAGAGCTTAAACGGTTTTTCCTTAAAACGGCTCAAACTTTTTCAACGAAATTTTCTATATTGGACAAGGTTTTACACTACTTTAATATAATAATAATAATAATAATATGACGAACATACTAATAAGAAACTAAAAATAGAGAAAATTTCAAAAACAATATATTTAGGGCAACTTAGATGGGCAATTTAGATGGTAGCCGCTTAGATGATACGGGAAAATTGTAAAGCTAGCCTACACAAAGGAAATTAGAACATTTTACTACGAGAAAGTGCGTACCATTCTGTACTAGTAGTTACTCTCTTAACCAGTAGTTACTCTCTTGTATACGTACGTATATACGGAGTAATATAAGTAGTGTAGAGAAAGTTAATGCGGCGGAAAATAGATTTGGAGAATTCAACGGAAATACACGTTTTGGGGGCCCCTTATACCAAAAAACTAACGTCTAAACCATACGTAGGATTTTTTTCAAAATGGATTTTCGTTAGTCGATCTAGCTCCATTTGCTGTGATTTTAAAAATTTTTTTTTTTAAAAATTGGATGTACTTTACATGAAGCTCCAGGACATTTTCATAATTTTCTACAAAAAGGCTCCAAATGTTTCTTTAATTTTTTTAAAGAATAGAGTAAAATGCCCTAATAAAGATGGGATATTTTTACTGTTAACACTAAATTTTCAATAGTTGCAAAATATGTAAATTTATTCGGCGTCATCCTACAACTACAACATGAAGATGGAGAATTTCCCTTCAAACGAAATTCGTTCTTCATGATTAGTTCTTTTATTAAGGTCCTGTACATTTTTTGAAAATTTTAGAAGTTTGCGTGCAATACGTGCAATTTAAAAAATTAACAGAAACAAAATTTTCTCGAAAACGGCTCCAGTTTTTTTCTGTAAACTTTCGGCAGGGATAGTGCTAAATGTACTTTACGAAATGCAATTCGCGCCTTATTTCCCCTTTCTTTTGTTGTTTTTAAATTACACAAATGTAATTTTTTTGACTAGTCTCTCACGACGATAAAGTTTCCATTATCTGCGATTTCTTCACGTTCTTGCATTTACGAGTACATGTGCTGTACATGTTGTCATATAAAGTTCCTTGGGAGCTCAAAAGTTTTCTGTGAAAACGAGTTCAAAATTTTGCATTTTCAGTAACACTGAAACGCCATTTTCACAACAACGGTTCCAATTTTTTCAAACCTTTCGTAAAGATAGTGTTAATTGCATAGTTTAATATTACGTAATGCTTATTTTGCTGTAACACACAAATATATTTTTTTTTTAATATCTCTCAAGCCTTTAGCAACGCATTGATTTCGCAAACTGCATTGATGTGTTTGTTTTATACATTTTGTTTATTACTACAGATTAATCCATGGATTCAAGGAAGTATCGTCGACCTAAAATACAATCACCTATTACGATCTGAGCGACTATTTAATTATATAAAAGAGTACAGTTTGAGCTACTTGACAAGGAGAGGTGGCTCAATGTATCAACTGTTGTCTCTGCAGAGCCTCGGTCCCGACAGTAGCAAGATTTTCGACACTAGCTTACATTATTGGCGATTTCTTTACATTATTGCATTTACGAGTACATAAGTTGTGAATGATGTCATAAAAAGTTTCTTGAAAGCTCAAAAGTTTTCTGTAAAAACGAGCTCAAAATGTCGCATTTTCAGAAACGCTCCAACGCCATTTTCTCAAAAACGGCTCCAAATGTTTTCTTCGCACTTTTCGTACGGATAATGTTAATTGCACTGTTTAAGATGACAAAAAAATTAATTTTCTTACATTCTTTTGTGTTTTCACAATCAACATGTAATTTGTTTAAAAATCTCTCACGCTGTTAACATGGACATTTATAGCCATTTGTATATATTATTGCACTTATGAGTTGAATTGTTTCAAATGTCTTCAATGAAGTTTATCGAAAACTCAAACAATTTCTTAAAAATAAAAGTACTTCAAATTTCGCTTACACATCTTTTCTGAGAGGTTTTACTCTTCTTTAACATTTTGAAAGTAACATTTCAGTTCTACTATTCGGAAACAGAAAAATTGAGAATCGTTTTCGAAAAGTTCTTTGGGCAGAAAGGTGGCAGGCAGCCAGCCAGAATATGTCGGAAATCAGAATAGCTAGACCAGACAAAAGATTATAAAAAACCAATACGAGAAAGTCTAAGCTATTTTGTAGCTCCACTAATTCAATTATAGATTCTCGCTTGAAGAAATGGGACCATAGGACGACTGTGAATTGCTTGTTCATTGTTCATAAACAAGATTGCTTTTTAATCAAATAATTTCAAACAAGGGAATCTTTAAATATATATATATATATATATATATATATATATATATATATTTCAACTAAAATATTCGAGATCTAACTGATCTTTGTGGCGGGGACTAATGGGGTGCATTCCACTCAGCCTAGTTTTGGCTAGTGGTGGTGGCTTTAATAGCACGCACTTTCTTTCGTTATTTGTAACTGCTCGCATTAATTCCAGCATATCGCACAGATAAGCGAGGAGAATTTCACACATAAATTGAATATCGAGAACTATAGGCCATCGAATATATCGCATTATTATTGCATTCGACATTACGATATTATTACCTTATGCATACCTTAATATACATTATTCCCGATTATAGTTGAATATACAATTTTATTGAACGTAGAAAACGTAACATTAACATTACAATGTTAACGTTAAGTAAATAAAGCCGCCTTATCTTATCTTTCCAATCCTGCCGCCGTTCAATAATGAACATCTCAAATATCCATCGCTGTGTTGTATGGCAACAATGTCGCGCACGGTGGTATTCGTCTCCTACTCCTTGTACTATACGGGAAAGCAATAATGATCAAATCACGGATATATAATTCTATTAATCGCCTCTTGTATTGTTTCAGTAGTATACATATCTTTTGCGGCTCGTACACGCAACAGATCTTTGTAAATGAGGTCTCTAAAGAAAGAGAATTTCACGGATACAATGCACTTTGACTTTAACAATATGAAGCACATCTTCTAAGACTGGTTTTCGTCCATATGTCTACCATATTTTCATACTGAAAAAAAAACTTTGTCCTTTTGGTTCCAAACAAAAACCACTAGTATTTTTGGCTCTCTTAAAAAAATCTGGCGTAGTTGAAAGAAGCGAAAGAAAAGAAAGAGTATTTAAGGAAGAAATTGTTTCTAACGCCTTACAGAAAGAGGTTTTAGAGCAGCAGGTATTTTTCCCGTGCGATAGAAATCAGGACCAAAAGAAAATACCAAACGTGGACAAAAACAGTTTTTCGTCTTCGTGGATGGATTTTTTTTGTTGAACTTATCAAGGATTTCAGTTTTTCCAAAAAACAACAAATGGGCGAAGAAAACGTTTAAACGTCGTTGCCGGAAAAGGCATTGCTGGTACAAGTACTGATCAAGAGACATGATGGGCATGATTCTGGAGTTGTAGATCCCATAGAGCAGCCAGGTTATGAAGGTCTCGCAAGTGGAGAAGATCCAATTACCATTTCAGTGGATGTAGAATGTGGAGACTTTGTTTTCGGTAACTTTACCACCACGAATGGCAGTGATGTCAGGTACGTCGGAAAAATATGCAAAAAGGAAGAAAACACTCTTACTGCCAGATTTTTAAAAGAGTTCGAAGAAAAGAGATGTATATATTTACCCTCAGTCAGAAGACATTTTATCTTTCCATGTTCAGGATGTTCTTGAATTGGAACCACCCACAGAGTTGAGAAAAGGCCTTCACAGATTCGACCTAACTACCCTAAATGGCATCTTAAAATTATTTATACTTTCATTACTTGGATAACATGCAATCGTATTAAAATATTTGTAAAAATTGTTTTCTTGTCTCATTTTACTCCAGAAGCAGTGTTACATGCGATAGAAATCCAATTACAGTGTAATCTAAAGTCACCCCAACCACTGGGGTGACATGAGACAATGATAATATGATGATAAAACCTTTAGATTTTAACCCTGAGATTTATAACTCTTTTAATATATTAAATAGAAATTTCACTACCCAACCATAATTCATGTGTCAAAAATAAAGACAATTTTACCAAAGAAAAAGACGCAAGTCTGCCTCAAGTCACTCGCTTCAAATCCTAACCATCTAATTTTGAATATTTGTAATTTTCGAAAAATCAGGGATTTCAACGAACATGAGACATGTACCATTCTCGTAAACGTCCTATAAGCTATCCAAGGTCAAAATTTAATGAAAAGAAATCTGGGGCAGTTTTGCAAAAAAAAAAAAAAAATGTAAGCAAAATTCAAAAAATCCCTTCACGCAAACTTACGCGAAAGAAACTCACATATTCGAAAAATTATACATGACCTGAATTTAAAATCTGTTTTTAAGGAAAAGATTTCATTAAGGAAAAATGCTAATTTAGTTGTAGGACGACACGGAAAAAAATTGAATTTTTGCAATATTCCAAAAATCAGGGATTTCAACAGAAATCAGACCTGCGTCATTCTATTAAGCGTCTATTGTGCTATCCGGCAACAAAATTAACAGAAAAAAATTTGGTGCCATTTTTTTAAAATGGCCGTGGGTCTGCATATAGTGTACCCCCCCCCCCCAATAAAAACAATTAAAATATCGGTATCAAATTCAAGGAGCCAAATCGGGAATATCAATTATGGAGAAAATCGGCAGACGGCCGGGCAGGCAGACGTTTTGCCGTCAAACGATTTTTCGGTATCAAAGGGCCACAAAAACTAGAATTCTGACAGCAAGTTAGAGGAAGTGATTTACTATAAATAGGGACAAGATTTATCCACTTTTTCGTTACCACGGTCCGGCAATAATTTTCTGTCGAAAATTTGCCGCTTTTCCATCAGCATTAGAATAGGTACTTTCTCTATTCTGTGAAAGCAGTAGCAAAAAAGTAAAAATAGCAGTTTCCGAAGATTTTGATTTTCTAATTCCATGTTGCGAGTCTGAAAATAACGAACGTTTTCCATTCATATGTATATGAAAAAACTAGTGTTTTTGAGGAAACTGACTAAAGGTCTCCGTTGGACCACGGCCTTCAAGCCCGGAAATAACTGATTATGATGTAGAAACCGGCCGTGAAAGCCTACATTGTATGTTGATTAAAGGGAAATTTACTAATAATTGTTAATTTCATTTGTATTGCCTTACTGACTTCATTTGTGCTGTTTTGAAAATTATCTTAAAATCTTTCAAATGAAATATCTGTATCAAATGAAAAATCTTTCAAATGAAATCTGGAAATATTTCAATGAAGCATTGAAAATGTAAGTTAAAAGGTTAAAAAAGTAGGAGCACAAGTTTTTGGTAAACTCTAAAATTTGAAAATTCATCTAAACCAGCAAATACTTATCTTTTATTTTCTGACTATACTGATGATATCATTGGAAGGTGTATCAAAAAAACCTTCATCAACTCAAACAGTTTTTGGAAAAATTATAATGTTGAAATTTGTGGATTTAGTGCGTTTATGAGATCACAGTTCTCAAAAAGTGTTGATTGAAGAGACATTCATCTTGTACAAGATGGTTTACTTCTCAATTATTATCCTTTAAAACAACATTCTCTACAAAGTATTGAGATAATGTATTTGAATTTTTTAAGATATTTAAAAAAGAGAATAAGAAAGAATATACTAATAAATTAACAATACTACGAGGAATGATATCTCTGACAACCCTGATGTGAGCAAACTGTTTAAAAAATCTGTTATTCTAAATAACTTATTAAATGTAAATAATTATTTATTTGGTGTTTATGAGTACTCAGTACATTGTATTTCAGAATCCACAAATTGTAATTTTACATGTTTTTATTAAAATTTTGTTATTACAGATAAAATACTTTTTCAAAGTACTTTTACAAGACATTCAGTATCCACAGTTTCTCTTGAGAAATTTAGAAATTCTACTTCCAAATAACAGATAACATCAAGTAGTACACGTTTCTATTGAAAGCATATACTGCATATATTTACAAATCTCCATTCTCTGAGCTTTATATACAAGAAAAATATTGTTAATGAACACTCCTTTTCTACTATTTCACAGCAAGTCTTTAATAGATACATTAATTAAAACCTCTAAAATATTTTGTATGGCAGAGGAAAGGAAATTACAGTTTGCAAGAACAAAATGCATGAAATCTTGTACCATTAGGAATACACATAATTGAAAATTATACTGAATATGGAGAATATGGTTACAGAATTTCACATGATATTACCAGTAATATCATTGTCTCAAACTGTATCCTCATGTTTCAATATTAGTTTTTCTGAAAATTGCCTATTTGATTTTTCAATAAATTGAATCCATTTAATACAATTCTACAATTTTTATTGTTATTTTCTTTGTTTACCTCATAAATGTATAAGTAAATCAATTTGGCAACTTAGAATTCACTTTCTATAAATATACTTGACTATTCTAGCATAAAAGTTAACTCCAATAGAAAACATAAATTATGCAGGAGGATGAAGACTGAAAGGAAAAAATACAGTACAAACTGTACACAGGAACAATGATTTTGGTATCACAAAAACATATTTATTTGGTATAGCTAAAACTGAGAAGTATGTTTCTGCTACAAACAAAACTGTAATACATCTATGAAATTTAAAATATATATTAATTCATTTCATTAAAAATTTCTTTTCACAGAGATGACACCATACTTAAGAAAAAATTGCAAATGTTTAATATGATATTCAGAATAAAGGATTTACCAATTTCAAGATTCATTCTTTCTTTGCCCTAATTTCTAATGTTAATTTTTTAAATTTCTTTTGTACAAAAGGCAGTGCAATGCATGTATAGTTTTGATGTAAAATCACAATTATAGTATGACCATTTTAAGTAATTATATATACAATTAACAATATATTTACAGTTACAAGCCAAATATTTTATTTTTACTCTCAAGCAAATACAGACTAGAAGACAAATATTATATACTATTAAAGAAATATAGCATCATAATTCTTATATTTTTGTGACTTTTTAAAATATATAATATTGCTTATATTATATCTTAAACTGTTCACATTTATTGTTGAAAGTAGAATTATTTTTAAATAGCAATGAATAATGACTGAAAACTCAATTTAATATTTTGCCACTCGGGTTAATTAGTTATATACACTACTATTTATGCATTAATTATAATATTGCACACATTCTCTTTAAGGTAGTTTCTGAAAGCTGTGGGATACTTGTAACATACTTGCCACCAGAGGCAAGATGCCAATCTTACACAAAAGATTCTTTGGATGTACTTTGGAATAATTTTTTTGTTTTGTTTTGTTTTTTTGAAACTGCTATAGAAAGCTTTTGTTTAATTCAAAATATGAATGTGGCATAATTGTTTTTATACATTTCTATATTATTTTCTTGCTCATCAGGTTTTCAGACCTTTTCTAACGAGCATGAGCTTTGCAGAAAGGTCGGCCACCCTTGGCGTAGAAGCTCTGTCCTTCCAAGTTCTTCTTGCAATTCTAAAAACAGTGTTGTATATAAATATCAAATGTATAAATATAAATTCAGATAACAATACTCATTAATACTTACAGTGCAGTTGAAGCACTGGCTATGGTAATTATTGTTGAGAGCTTCTACCCATCGATCTCCAGCCTCAATTGGGAAGCCACAAGCAAAGCACTTGGTGGTAAATAGTTCATTCCAATCTGGATATCCACAAGGAAAGATATAAAGAGTAGTTTACATACTTACAGATAATTAACTTAATTATATCATAAAATAGAATTTTTCCTCACCAGCTTCACAGTATGGCAATCCATCTTCTAAGAAGAATGGGCTGTTTCCAAACAATTTTCCACAGTATGCGCACAAGAAGCATTCTGGGTGGAAATGCTTGCCAATTGCATTCACGCAGTCCTAGAGGGCAAAAAGATGCACTCAATGGCACTTCCATTTATACTTTAATATTAAATGTTTTAAAGATCTAATTATTTACTCTGGGAAGAAATGCGTTTGGAAAAGTAGCTGAAAGAGTGATCTTGATAGACATAGTTTTGTTTTGTATACTATTTGTGATGACATTACTGAGGGCAGTGATAACATTGAGAGACTTTGTATACTTTGGTTTGATTTTTATTTTTGTGATGACGTGATGTGATGGTGTACAGTGTATATTTGTGATGTGGAAGTAGTGTGGTGACATATTGGTTGGTCAGTGTAGGTAATAGTTTGGTATTGGGTGATTGCCTTTTTGATAAATGAATAAAATAAATAAATAATATCATTCCCATGTTAGTTCAATTGAAAATTCTTGGTTTACAAAAAGACAAAATATTTATGGAATTAAACATTCACTTTTAATTGTTATTAGTAATGTATCACAATGTTCAGATTCATTGGAAAATTAAAAAAACAAAAAAACAATGAATTTATAGAAATATGCAGTAAAATTGCCATGAATTGGTGGAGGGGCTTGGGACAAATGTTCCCAAAAATGTATTAGACCAAAGGCTGAGGTTTCAAATCCTGCATAAGAAAAGTATGTTTTAAACGTGTGTTTGAGGCATGGCAAACTCTTCACAACCTCATGTATCGTGAGTCCAGAAACCATTCATCCCAAATTTATCAATTTATAAGAACTAAGATAAGTCTAAAGAGTACATAGTATTCAAAGAAATTAAAGAAAATGTAAGATTGGCCTACATGCTCCCTTGGTTGGCTGAGTTTAAAGACTGCTATCAGCACCTATCATGACAATGGATGGAGAGGGGGTGAAGTAAAGGATTTTGGGAATTAATTGGCTCCTGAATGACTGATGGTGCCAAAGGCAAGAGAAATAGCCAGGATGGTAGATCAGAACAAATGGTAAATTGCAACCTATGTATTTTTTGTTCAAAAATATATCATACCAAATTGCTATATTTACTGTATTTTGAATATTTGAAGTATTTTAAATATATATGTATTTAGCAAGTCAAAACCTAATATACTTTGAGTATGTATTTAAATACTTATTTACAAAGTATTTTGATGATGTATTTAAATACTAAATTCAAGGTATTTTACCCAACCCTGGGTATGATAAACCTGATATTGTACTCTTAAACATGACAAAAGTTGCAACTTTTCCGAGACAAGAATGAAGGATGACAGAAGAGATTGAGCAACCTGCTTACATATAATCCAAGACTATATTTACACATCTATAATGTAATGTAAGGGAAACTTACCCCCTTAATTTTCTTAGAACACTTATCACATGGCGGTGCAATAAACTGTTCAAAGCAGTATTCACAGTATAATTCACCTTTCTCTTCAACAAAACCAATGTCTTGGAGAGGACGACGGCATTGGCCATTCACACAAACAAAGTGCTCAGGGCACCAAATCTTGCCCAAGGCAGTAATGAAAGGACCCCTAAGCAAGAATAGAGTATTATTAAATTTCTATTATAAACATTGTATTTTTAATGATTTTAAGTATTAATTTCCAGTAACAGTTATTAAAATAAATAAAATATTTGGGCAATCAAATTACATAAAATACTATAAAGTTGAAAAAATATATTCATTGATATTATTCCAGTATAAAACTTACAATAATGGATCAACATCTGGAACTGCCATTCATGTGAGTGCATAAATATGAAATATATCTCCGTATTAATTTATGAGTTAATTCCAAAATGCACTTTCATAAAACCAGATTAGAGGTTGTGAAACATTTTTAAGCATGCAAAATATAATAAAGGAATCCAGTTATGGAGCAACAAAAGCAAATGAGAGCACTCAATGATTTTTACACTTGTATTTTTCCTCATAACTATTCTTTCTAACTATTAATTTAAAAGAGAAAGGAGGTCACTCAGTGAACAAAAATAAAATAAAATAAAATAAAAATGAAGATTTTTGGATTTATCAACTTTGATGCTACTAATCATGAATATTTAGAATTCAACAAAAATAATTAAAAATTAATAGAACTAATTTACCTTCTTATTGTCTTGCTGCATGACACACAAATAGGGTACTTTTCTTGTTCTACTGATTCTCTGAGTGTCTTTACAATTGCCTCTGTTAAGACATTGAAACACATGAGAAAATATCACACATACTCATGCATACACACTCAAAATGAAACTACAATTAAACTACAAATCATGATAATATATACTATTAAGCATAGTTGCTGTTAGTTTGATATGTTAGTTTTCTAATATTTACAACATACAACTAATCTTGCAACTCAATCTCAGAGACTATCATCGTTTCTCTGAATATTATTTCTAAGAGTTCAATTCAACTTTGTAGGTGCGTGAGATTGTCCTTAAATTTACAAAAAGAAAAGACCTTACTGGAAAAAAAACTGATGCATTTTGTGTGTGCAAAATAATGAGTCATAGTTACAAAGGAGATAACATCAAGAATGGTTGGAAATTTATAATAAGGTAGCATATACTATAAAAAGTAAATTTAAAGATACAAAAAGAAAGTATTGATTAAAAATTGATACAAAGCAGACAAAGAAAAGGCAAAAGGCTAAAAAAGAAAGCAAGTAATAGAAAGAAGGACATTCAGAATGCAATAACAGAAACTTCTTTGCCAATAAATGTTAGAAATTCAACTTGCTATTATATGTTTTAAAAATCCATGCAACTCCAAAACAAAAAATCAATCATGGGATCAACATTTCACACAAACAATTGTACCTGATTTGATTATTACAGGCTCCACAAAGAGGAATTCTAGCTCCTGGGGCCTGTTGATTGAGCACACCACGACCTCTGCGTGGGGCTGAGGAGCCAGCAAAGGTTGCTGATCCCTTCTGACCTGGACCTCCACCAACACCACCACCAACACCTGCATTTGGGATTGATGAAGAAGTTGATGGAGCAGGGGATTTAGTTATAGTAGTTGGCCGAGAAGCTGAGCTTGGAAGGGAAGGTTGCTGTGAAGCTTGGGGCAAAAATGGTTGAGAGGAAGGCAAACTTTTAAATGAGCTTGAAATTGGTGTTGGTTTAAACACAGGAGGAACTCCTGTTTTTTGGGGAGTATTTAATCCTTGGTTAAAAGTGGCAGAACCTCCAAAATTTCCAGGGAGAGGTGCAGCGGAGGCAGAAGGCTGCTTAGGAGCTCCAGCTTTTGAATTCAAAGGGTAATTTTGAGGTTTTGGGGTTGGGGATAAAGCTCTTACACTTGGAGAATGAGGAGCTGGGGAAAGGGCTCTCTGTGTTTGAAATCTCTCAATATCTTGTTGGTAGAAAGGAATAATGGGAGGCTGAGGAAGGCCAAAGAATGGGCTTACTGGTCGACCAGGTTGACTTTGTGTCAAATTCTGGCCAAGCTGTTGCTGCTGTTTTTGTTGTTGTTGTTGTTGTTGTTGTTGTTGTTGTTGTTGTTGTTGTTGCTTCTGGTTTTGGAGTTTCTGTTCCTGTTGCAGTTGCTGTTGCTTTTGTTGCTGTTGCCATTGCTGCTGCTGCTGTTGCTGTTGCTGTTGCCATTGCTGCTGCTGCTGCTGCTGCTGTTGCTGTTGCTGTTGCTGTTGCCATTGCTGCTGCTGTTGTTGCTGCTGCTGTTGCTGCTGCTGTGATTTCTGCCATGAAGCTGCCTGAGGAGATTGACTTTGAATGCCCTGTTGTGAAGGTAGAGGAGATGCTCGAGCTGGCAGAGGTGAGATTGCTCTCTGCATTTGATATCTTTCTATATCTTTCTGATAGAATGGTATCACTCCTGGTTTTGGTGCTGTTGATAATGAATATATTTTTTGCTGTTGTTGATCACCTGTTACAGAAGAAGTAGTCTGAAAACTAACACCTGCTTTTTTAGGATGAGGAAGAGTGTGGGAACGGGGTGTAGGTGTTACCGGCTTTTTGATTTGACTTGGAATATTGGGTGTGATTGGTCTTTGTCCCTGTGGTACAGGAGAAAGAGCACGTACGTTTGGAGCATGAGGAGCAGGAGACAAAGCTCTCTGCATCTGATATCTTTCTATATCCTTCTGATAAAATGGCACAAATTCTGGTTTTCCTTTTCCAAACAAAGACACTTGTTGTTTATGTTGCTGGGTTCTTTTAACTTCTTGCTCATTCACAAATGTTTGTTGAGTTTGGGAAGATTGCTCATAGTTCTTTTGAAACTGGGAAGAAGTAACTCTTGGTGCCTGACCAACTGTTCTTTGAATAGTTTTCTGCATCTCCTTATGACTATGAGAATATGACTCTTCAACACGGGTGTGTCTTGTGACAATTTTCCCTCCTCCCAGGTCCACCACTTGTGTAGTTTGAGGACCTTGTGTTTCTTGCACAACACTAGATTGTAAGTAAGCAGACTGATAATCCTGGTATTCTGAATCCTGAGGTATAACTTGGTCAGGTGGCACAGTAGGTCTGAACCCACCCATTACCGGCAAAGAAGAGCGTGACACAGGGCGTGGAGAAGGAACGGGAGTTTTGCTCTGTGGTGGAGGAATATTTGATTTTGGTAGAGGTCTCAGTAAAGGACTTGAGGCTGGAATAGACTTTGGAGAAGCTAATTTAGGACCAGTTGTTACAGACTGAGGAGAAACAACTGTGAAAGCAGATGCTTCAGATTGCACTACTGTATTAGGCATTTGACTAACTAATGGAGTCTGAACAGGTTGACCTGTGAATGGAGAATAAGACCTGTCAGGGGCAACTGTTAGGGCTTCAAGCATAGACATATGCTTTGATGGAACAGGCAGCAGAGGGAGCTGTGGTTCACCAACTTCAAATGGTTTTGGAGCTGCAGGAGGCACAATTTTCTGAGTAGATATTGGTTTGGAAATGGTTGTAGATTGTTGCATAACAGGTGTTTGTGGTTTTGTAGCTGGTGGTAATGGTGAATACGGACGTTCTGGAGCAATCATAAGAGCTTGGACCATGGGAGATGGGCATTCTTCAGAGCGAGACATTGGATTAGAGGAAGCTATTTCAACTTTTGGACGATAAGGAGCAGTTTGTTTTGGAAGGGGAACAGGGGCAGGTATCGTAGAAGGTGGTGGGTTATTCTGAGAAATGCTTGTTAACTGTGATACTTCTTGGCAAACAGATGCCTGTTGTTCTAGTGCAATTGGCCTAAATGCACCACCAGGTTGTAATGGTAATTGCTTGTAAGACAAAGGTTGTGATGTACCCTGACCTAAATTCTGTTCACTTACGTTTGTTGGATTGGTTTGTGTTGTGTAAGTAGGTGGTGCAGTTGCAGCAGGAAATGGAGAATACGGCCTGTCTGAAGCAGTAGTTAGGGCAGAAAGAAGAGAGGACTGCCATTCCTTGGGAATACTATTAGATGAAATGGGCTTTCCTTGTCCTGAAGATACAAGAGTTGAAATTGATTCATTTTCTTTAGAAACTGTTTGGGACATTTCAATAGTTTGTTCAAGTGCTCTTGTGGTCTCCTTACATATTTGACTTTGTTCTTGCTGTTCTACAACCACTGAATTCTCAACAGCACTGAATAATTTTACATCAGAAACCTCTTTCTGCAGATCAGTCTGTGGTTGTTGCTTGTCAGGCTCATCACAACTTTGCTCAGTTGGCAAGTTTGGTTGTTGTTCAGGGAGTTGTTCAAGTGGTTCCTGAGCAGGTGTTTGTTCATTTCTCTGTTCACCTTGGGAAATATTTGCAGGTTGAACAATAGGTAAAGGATTTTGTGTAACTGCATCTTGGGGAGTTAAAACAATTTCTTCTGTGTGCTTAGTAGGAACTGGTGATGCAGGTCGATCTTGTGACTGGATAATTGATGACACTAATGTTTGTGTTTCAAGTGATTCTGATATTCTTTCAACAGCAGCAACAGATTTGCTTTCAGTAATTAAACTCACTTCTTGTGAACAGACAGATGCTTTCTTCGCAAACTGTTGTGACCCTTTTGCCTGCATTTCAGTTTGTTCTTTCACAGTTTCAGTAAAACTTGCCTGTTGCATACTTGAAAAGCTATTAGCTTCAATTTGGCCAGGATTTGGGTTTACATTTTCTTTACTTATATTGGAAATAGGTTGTGGAAAAGGAACCTTTTGTGGTACTATGTTGGGTGTTGGGGAAGAGATAGGTCTTGATTGATATGCTTTCTGTGAGGAGACAAAGTCTGAATAAGGTAGTGGAAATGGAGGAACTTGTTCTTTTGGAAGCTGTGATGCTGCTGCCTGAGCAGGAAGAGGCCCAGCAGATACAGGAGGCACATTAGGTGGAGCTGGCACTTGTTGGTAGGTTGGTGCTTGAGATTTGATGGCCTGTTGCATGGGCTGATTGAAAGGAATTTGTTGAAAGGGTTGTGGCTGTGGAGGCTGTGGCTGTACAGATGTTTGCTGGAGTGGAACAGGAGGAATATACATTGGAGTAGCTGTTGGTCCTGGGGAAATATTTTCTTCATCTGTTTTGGGGGGCCACACAAATTTACTAGCTATATTAATGGCAATAATATAAAAGCACAGAAGAATACAACATTGAAATAATGAAGAGAGCAAGAAAACACATGCATCACACACACACATGCATGCAGAAGGAACATTGTTTCAATTTTAAAAAATGTACAAAATTTACAAGGATTGAAAATGGAGAAGTTAAAATTGAGTCAACATTTAGCATGAAACATGAGTTATAGGCGGATTATGATATAATTTATAAGAAAAAAGGTTAGGATTCAATAGGCAAAAAGAGAGAAAGAAAGAAAATAGCAGTTACTTTTGTGCAAAATAAGAATAGGCATGATTCTATTAGTCGAAGCAAGAAAATGATTTCAACAATAGGACATGATCTATATAGAATTACTTTGTGTAAAGCAATGGATTCATCAGAAGTGTTGAATCAAAAGCTGTAATCAAGGAAGTCAAAAATAGTAGGTAATTATTTTTTAAAAAGTTGGTAGTTACTGCATTAATATTCATCAAAAACTATTTCATATATACTTTTGAGTCAACACTCTGAACACTTTTTACCAAAATATTTCAAAAATGTGGTAACTAAATGGTAGATTACATATTTAAGAACATGTTAAATTATATGGTAGAGAAATCTATTAAGATACTACTTCCAAGAAATGAAGATAAAAAATTTTATTCCAACCTCTAAACTCAGTTAATATCACAGTAATTTATTTCTTCAAGGCACTATATATTAAAATGAAGTTATGCCAGAATGCAAATGACTGCATTGTTACCTGTGAAAAGTTATTGCACAGTTGCATAAATAAAAACTTGAAAATATGTATTCGATTTTCTTTAAAAGTATCTCACTAATATAAATTTTCAAAAAATTCAAGGATTAAATAAATTTCTTTTATAAAAAATCTCAAAGAAACTTCTTTTGGGCAATAAACAACTTTAGTATGACTGAAAGAACATGAATTGCAGAATCTCAAATTAAGTAATATGTATATTAACTTAATAAAACTTGTTAATTTATAACAACAGAAAAGCTCTCAAAATGATAAAATAAAATACAATTTGCTTTTACAATGTTTATCACATCACAAAGAAATCATTAAAATAAAACTATACAATAATATATTTCTATTTTTTTGTATCAGCAACTGTACAACAACAATTTGGTTCACTCAAGCTACTTTCTATTTCTCACTGCACATAAAAAATTATGTATGTTTTTTCACTCAACAATTATACGATACAAAAAGTAAATAAAATTTTATGGCTCAAAGCTGATTAGAAAAGCATCAATTAGAAATTAGTCAACAACTTTTGAGAGCTGCATTTGATTTTTGTTTTGTTAACTTTCTTTACATATATATCCTGGACCATTTTAAACTAACTAAGCAATGGAAAAAGGTCGTGGTTTAGGATTAAACGATCTGAAAGCTGAAAAGAAAGAACAAAATGACATTGGAATGATAATTTTAGGGAAAACAATTAGTTATTATATAAAAACATTCATATCCTAAAAGTGAAATCATCAAGTACTGACTTTCGAATGAAAAACCTTTTGAGCAATATTGTCATACCAAGAATGTATGGTTTCAATACTTTTAATTTATATAAGGCTTCCTTCATCCAAGAATGTTATTTTAGCCAATTACTATAATATTATTTAAAATTATTGATGGTTTAGATTCTGATATTGAAGACAGCAAAAAAAAAAAAAAAAGAATGATGATTTCACAGAAGGAAAGAACATTAGATCAAACATAGGTTTCCAGATCTACTGTAGTGACAGGAAAATATGATACACTCATGGCATATCAGTGTAACAGACATAAATATTATTTAACATATAATTGTATTCAATGTAATTTACAATTGTTAATGTTTTGTGAATTATTTGGAAGAGAATATAATAGTGTTTCTTTTGTTATTTTTCTAGTGCAAATTGTTTCAAAAGATTTGTTTCATTTAGAGGCACTTTTGTAGCACAAAATTCATCAAATTTGTGTTCTGAGTAACTGTACAATAAATAAAGGAAAAAAAGAAGAAAGTAATAATTCCAGGTAGTAATATGAGGGTAAAATTAATAAATTTGTTCATTTCAAAATGTAGAAGAACCTTCTTTATAAATAATATTAAAATACTAAACTTTTGGTCTCTAGAAACTAGAGGTTATGGATGTAATAATAAATTAATTATAAATATTATAATTTGTTTTTTTAAGTGTTTTCTGTTTGATAAACTTGTTTTTTTTACAAATAATAAGGCAACACATTTACTTTTAAATAATTTTTTATTTTAAACATTATATTTATCACTGTTTTGTACTTTTATTAATTTTTTATGGTTTTTAGTACTTCCATAAATGATTTATAATGTCAATGTGCCTTCAAATTTTTTGGAAATGGAATATGGACCTTTTAAAATAAAAAGTAACATAACACAAAGATAAAGAATGTTTTCAAATCAATCAAACTTTCTCATGACATTAAAAAGGTTGTAAGAAAAGATGTCTGTTTTAAACCAAAATAGTTTTCTTTTGATCTGCCACTTTAAAAAAAATAATATATTTCTGATGCAACATACAAACACTGTCACTTTTCATCACCACTGCTCTTGTGTTAAAAGAACGGTAGTGAAAAGCATCAAAATACTCACAAAAATGTCAATGAACTTTCAAGCAACTCTCAAAGGCTGTTTCTTGTATCATATTAATCAACTTATAAGTACTATCATGCTCAAGATAAAATTCACATATAGTAAAACTGCCAACATAAAGCAACTTAAAATTTTGTAACAAAAATACTGGAAGATATATGGCGCTATTTCACAAGTGCACACGGCACATAATATCTATTTTCTGAAGCGATTACCTTTTATGTTGCTAAAGGGCTTCAGAGTTGGATAAAAACCTGAGCATTAAAATGAATTGAAATTCAATGTATCATTCAAATTAAATAACAGTGCAGTGGAATCATGTAAAACTTAAATATCTAAGGTATTGTGATAAACATTTGTATATACTGAATGTAGCAGAAAGAAAAATACAATGAAAGGATCAGTGTCTCAGAATGCCTTGAATTTGTCTCTTATTTTGGAAGACATCCAGATGTCACCTCATCGTGAATGTTATTATAAATTTGAAGGTTACGTAGATTATGAGAAATGTTATAATATTATACATTTTTATTGCCAATTATGCCAAAAAATAGTACATAAATTATATGTCTATGGAGTTGGAAATATTTTCTTATAAATGAAAGTAGTAATCATTTAGTTTTAACTAATTTTTAGGCAAAACAATTTAAAACAAGAGAATGATTGTAGTAAAGTGCATATTTTCATGCATCTAATTATTTTCTGAAATGTAGAAATTTCTTGGAAGAAATCACTTTCAATCAATTCTATCTTACAATAATATTCGTTACTTGCTGAAGCTTAATCTGATCATAACTGTGGTATCACCAAGGTTCGTTTATGCATAATATTTACATATTTGTAATAAAAAGTTTGGAACATTCTTTTTGATGGAAAATAAATGAATTCCTTGTGGAAGAAAAGGTGATTACAGTAAATACCTTTAAAATTATCACTATGACCTCGTCTCTGGTGACATCTAGAGCATGTAACATTAAGCTGAACTGGAGCACTGAAAGTACAGCATTTCCTTGTAATTTTTCTCAAGACATTCCATACCAATGAGAAATGCCAATATATAAATTTGCACATGACATACCAGGTTTAAATAGGAGACACTCATCAGGGAATTCAGAATCTTGGACAAGGGTAATACTTTCATTCACTACTTGTGAATGTACTGTTTACCGTGCTGGATAGAAGGTAAAAGGGTCAAACTTAAGATGGCTCAATTGTTTATGACTTACCTGGAGCTGGACGAGCAGGACTAGTTGTTGGCGCAGTAGGAGCGCTGAATGGCTTGGGAGGTGCAATACCAGATGGAGTCTGCCCCTAAAATAATATATAATTTAGAAAAAATGGCTGAATCATTTAACAAATATATACTTATTTTAACTGTACTATGTTTCCAAGAAATATATTTGCACATTTGTCTAGTAGTCATGTTATGCCCATATTAAGGTCTTTTGATCAGCTTTGAGCATTATTAGGGATTAAGAAATTTAAAAAAATAGTTCTAAAATTTTTAAGAGAAGTTTACAAAGAATATTAATTAACATTTTTATTAAATAACCATTGTTTTGAGAAAAATATTCTCAAAATCAATATATTTCTTTTATCAACATTTTTTATATTACATGCAAATGAACATTACAAAAATATTTTATATTTCGTTCGCTTAATAAAAAACAACAACAAAAATTTACAATATGTTTTTTCTTCTCTTTAACGTTGACTTAATAGTATTTTTTGAAGTTAAGACATTTAATTTTGTAATATTATGATTCGTATTATTACAATATTTCAGAAGGGATTCTATTACTTCATAGTAACACATACCAACATGCAAAAGACCAGGAGTAGAGAAACACAACAGAAGGAACATGCATTTAAATTACAAATAAGACAATAATAGAAATAAGTAATAATAAATATTAATAGCATTGGTACTTGCATATATGTTATTTGAGATTTTTATTTCTGATATCAGCAAGTGAAACACAAAATATCAGCATGTTGCAAACATTTCATCCATCCAATTTACAGACTTAAGCAGTTAAAAAAAGTAGTATAATAACTAACATTGTCTGCAACTCAAAAATATAACATGGAGTGGGTAAACAAAAAACACCAAATTTTACCTTCTTGGATGAATACTCAAAAAACAAACAAATAACACCATTGTAGGATTTGACTTATTACTTGAAAAATCTTTGAAACATTTATTTAAAACATTTACAAGTTACAAAAAATAGTATCAGCTACAAGAGCACTTATTCATTTATAACACTTATTCATTCAATCAATTTAACAGAAAGAATGCTGACAAACAAATTTTAAAATGTAAAAGGCCAATAAAAGATAAAATCATTGTGATACATCATTCTTGTTGCTGTGTGAATTCCCCCTCCCCCCGCCCACAGCTTTTTTCTTTCCTCTTTGTTGTTGTTTGTTGTTATCATCATCATCATTATTGTCAATGTTATAATCAGCATCCAAGGAGGTAAGGTTTGGTCTGTTTTATCTATTCATTTCATGCTGTATTCTTGAGTTGCATACTATGTTAATACTTTGTTTTACCTAAAGAGTCAGCAAATTGGTCTGATGAAACAATTGTTACATGTCTACATAGTGGCGTAACTATGTGCCTACATAGTGGGCTCGCAAGTCTAGCAATGCGGGCAGACCCAGGTAAAAGAGAGCGTATTTTATGGGATATTTTTATTACTTAAGGTTTTAACATTATTTGTGTTTGCTATATTCTTTTATAAAGGGGGCCCGAGTACAAGTTTTGCAGGTAGGCCTGCCCTCATTTCGTTACCCTACTGTGGCTACATATAGAGTTAGACTCTCTGAAATAAAAAATAATAATTAAAAGTTACATAATAGTTATTTTATATAATAATAGCAATTTAAATGCATCATTAGCTTTTAAAATGTTTTTTTTTCTAATCACAAATTCAAAATAATGCTTATAAATATAGGAAGTAATGAAAATCTTAAATAAAATCATAGCAACTATCACAGCAACTATTGATGTTTGAAATAATAATGAAAAATGATGTAGTATTGATCCATATATTCACATTTTTAACTTAAAAGATAAATATTATAATGGAAGTGTAATCATTTTTCACTTACATTCTGCAAACTTTATTTTACATACAGAACCACTGACTTAACAGAGTAAAGTAATGTTCTTTACAAAGAGACACAAAATAAAGTATATTTCACCCATTTCTATTACTAATTTTCCTGGAAAATTTAGTAATGTCTAATTTGTTAACTCTTCAATAGTTATGGTTTAAGATCTGATTGAATAAAACTTTGTCATTGGAATTTCAGCAATTTAAATGGTCAAAGAAAGAATATATAATTCATTGTCATGCAAAGAGTGCCCTAGAAAATAAAATAATGTTTAAATTATGACATACCATTAAATTAGTAGAAAGTATAACAACATTGATAGAGGTTTAGTTTCAATGTTGAATGGAATTATTAAATTTAGCCTTTTGTACAAATAGCTCCACAAAATGAGTAATTGAACCGAATATTAACATTTGCAAAATTAGATCTAATCACATGAATAATAATTTATAAAATTATTTTCTAAATATTAGTTGTATAATTAATAACGAAAGACATCTGGTCAAGCAATAGCTCAACCTTATAACACTCTCAAGCTCACAGTTAGCAAAGCAGTAGAAAACAGTACATAGACACAAGTACCTGGGGGGATCGGGGTGCGTTGACATGTGATGTGCCAACTCTTGGGGCCTGAAATGACATAACCCTCTTACCCTCAAATATAAAGAAATTCGTGATAACTTTGATGAACCCCTCAGAATGGAAAGAAAAATGGTGAAAATGGAGAAACACAATTTATAAATAAATTGCCCAAGAATTAAAAGTAAATAAGCCATGAAGAGAATAAGAAAGAAACCATCACCAGAGGAATAAATAGTAGAATTAATGGTTTCCACAGGTACCTGAAATTCTTTGGTTACATCTGATGTTGCAAGATTTGGTTTCAATTTTTTCTCATCAATGCACATAGCAGGCATAGCTGTTATAATATTTTTCAGATTATTTTCGAACACAAAACCATTTTCACCGTTTTTGTGATGATGTTCTGTAGGCTGTAAAATATTAAAATAGAAAGGTCTCCTCTTATAGAAATATGTACAAAAGATACTTAGTTTACTAACTGAAGTTGGATTGGTGAGTACAAATACATAACAACACTACAAATATTCATTAAATAAGTCAAACCTTTTCAGCAATGCAAGAAGAAAAAATACATGCTTTGAAACAAAATGTACATATCTTCATAATTATCAATGTTTTGATTCGTTGCACACACAAAAATTGAATTTTTCTTTGAAATTTAATAAGGGGAAAAATTCAAAAGAAAATCAAACATATACAATTTAAAGTTAAAGTATATAAAATTAATTAAACAAAAAAGAAAAAATCCTTTTGTATCTAGTGAAAATTGAAGGGAAAAAAATAAAATAAAATAAACACACAAACACAAAAAAAAAAAGTTTAGGAAAATAAATTGGGTGAAGGTGCACCAAACTTTTCAGCAATTTGAAAAAATCAATTGAAACATTTCATGACTTTTTTGATTCTATACTTACGTGGAAAGGCACTGGTCCCAAGGTCTGAGGGGATCCAGGAGCCATTGGAGCTGGAGCAGGAGCTGGTGCAGGAGCTGGTACTGGCCTAGGGGCTGGGGCAGCAGCTGGGCCCTGGCGCAGTCCAGGAGCTCCAGCAAGAGCTGCAGAGATAGCTCCTGCAGGTGCTTTGCCGCCTCTGTCAAATTCCAATAGAAATAAAATCTAAACCCTCAATTGGATCATATCACAAAGAGGAAATGGAACTGAATTTTTCTTACATTAAGTTTTTAAAATTATATGCTAATAGAATTTCTCTTGAAAATATTTCATTATCTGAGACATTTAGATGTAAATAATAGAAACTCATATTGTAAATTCTGTAGTGAAATGTGCTGCGAAACCACAATTTTACTTGTAACAAGAGGCACAAACCGTAATGTATGAGTAAATTGTCACTACTATTTGTTGTCTGTTTTTATCATCACTGGGAAAATAAACAGAGCTTCCCACTTTTCTTTGTAAAAGTCAATATTTTTGATTTTGTTTAATATGTCCCATAAAGGACCATAATTAACACCGGAACACCTCACATACATGTACATATATATAGAGAGAGACAGATAGGTATAGAGGCTTGGCTCTAAATAGACCTATGCCACATTTCTGTTAAAATGAAGATTGTAATCATACCAACATACTAGCCATATCAAAGATTAGGTTACGTAAAAGTATTGGGATGCTGGTGTAACAAATGATGCTGTATCACAAAAATATTTGTTCTTTACTCTGAGGCAAGAGATGGTGAATTGAAATTGGCATATGGTTATTTAGCTCCACATTTATAGCCCTACATTTATATTTCATTAAATTTATATAATCCATTCAGACATGGTAACTTATATTATCACATGCATAAAAAGTAACATATATGTGAACACATCTAGAAGGATAAAACTGTGATTTGTAGGATGACATGCTAGGATATGTTTAAACATGCACACTTACGGAGGGATTGTAATAGGCTCCAGATTTGGAGCTGGAGGGTGCTGTCTAGCGACCATCTTGGCATGAATGTCACAATACAACTTGTTATTGATGTTGTAATAGCCCACATTCTTCAAGGATGACCCACAGGTTGCACACTTGAAGCACTCCACATGCAGATTTTTGTCCTTTATACGTACAAATACACCCCTGGGAGGAATGGCGATGGGTAATTAGAACATGTTTTTATGAGTATAAGTTCTTGAACCAATGGAAAGGCTAATATTTGGTCAACATTACAATAAGTCTCCAAATATTTGTATTCAAGTCACAATGCTTTTGAAGATTGGTTTTTAGAATTGATTTTCGACAAAATAATTTAAAACAAGCCTTGGTTTTTGATTCCATTGAGTGTAGGTAGTATCAGTGTCAATGTATGTCTTGATATAGTAATGAAATGATATTTATTGTAACTGGTAATGGACAACGATGCACTGATACTATTCCTTCAACTGACAGGAGACCAGTCACAGCAGTGTCAAATAAGATAATTGATTATTGGTAACTAAATAATTTAGATACAAATTTTGCAATTTCTTATACATTTACAATTAACAAACTTTTTTTTAAAACAATATACTACCATGTACATCAAATTAACATTTGAACAACCAATAAGAAAACAAAAATCCACAGAAATAGCACAACTTAAAGAAATTCAATAGGATTTAAAAATGAAATTGTATCAAAACCCAATTTTAAGGAATGAGACATGCAAAACATATTGGGCAATTTGAACTACTCTACTCATAAATGTAACTAGGGTACTATACTACATCTACATAACATTCTGGAAACCATTTATAATTACTAATTACATAATTTTTGTTTTAAAAGGTCAAATCATGTTAAACCAAATGCATTAGGTATTTAATAAAACCAGAAAACTATTTTCCAGAAACTCAAATGTAAACAAAACAATATTGGAAAATGCAGTCCTGTAGTACTGTTTGATTTGATCACTAGCATGAAACGAATTCAAAACCAGAGCAAGGCAATATTGATCTACCATGTTAACTTGGTATCATGATAATTCAGTAATTATTGCATGCTGGGCAAGAAATGTGAAAAAGTACCTATAAATGGTTTCCAATTTTGATAAATTTTGATAACACCAAAAAAACACCAAACTTAAGAATTTGTTTTTCCAAGACATCAATTTCTGTAGACGACACATGAAATTACTTCTTTGCATATGAAAGTATTACTTTCCTACAAAGCATTATGTTCATAAAGACAATGCACTAATGAAAAGACAACAAATGACCAGATACTATTAAAATTGCACAATCCATTTAGAGAAGAGATACAAACATTGATTTATCACAGTGGAGAACAAATAGAGAGAGAATCAAAATTTTAAGATCATACATAAAACATTCATTTAAATTTCTTTTTATATTTTCACACAAAAAATACTATACGTAGAAGCAGCTATATGTAGAAATACTGTGCATACAAGTGTACATAGTACAAAGACAAACTAATGAAACAGTCGAAAAGAATATGAAAGCATCCAAAACTAAACACAAGTTTATTGGGTCTGATAGTGATGTTTATTAGAAGTAGTAATGTGATGCCAGGTGAAAAAATGTCAATTATCTTCAAATGGGCTAATGGCAATTTGTATATGTGAGTCAAAAAATGTAAAAATCAAGACCCCTTCCTTCCACAACATGTGTTTGTTTATGAAAAAATTAATTGTTGGAGGTGTAAATTTCATGAGTCCTTTGCATGGAATTCAGGGAGAAAATGACATCACAGAGATGATGAGCAGTTCCATGCATATGGAGATCCATGATCACAGAAGAATTATGAGCATGCTGGACTGGCTGAGAGCCAGAAGAGATGCACACAATAAAAATGGGGCAGCCTCATCTTACTTACACGATGGGTTTCTCACAATCAGTACATTTTGGGGTTTCAGATCTTGGGGCCGCCCCTGGAGATGGTGCAGAGCCTGCTGGGAAGCGCTGCATCAAGGGTGTAATAGGACGTGGGGTTCCACCGATGGCATGGCTTGATGCCGAGAAGAAGGTGGAGCTAGGTGGCGGTGCTATAGGTAGGAAAGGATATTAGGATTGGACATGAAGTAGTTAAGTGATAAATTATGAAGAGAAATGGAACAAAGAGATATCAATAGATGAAAAAAATCATAACTTGAGATATGATGATGAAGAAAAATCTGAATATTCTGCTTCAGCTGGCTGCATGACATATCACGGTAACAAAAAGACATATTGGTGCTTTGTGAAACATTGCATTTCTTAGGTTTCAATAAATGCCAACAACTACTAATTTTCATCTATCAGTAGATTCAAATAATGAGAGAAATGTTTCTTAAAACTGCTATGCTCATAAAGCACATTCAAATGTCTTTAATTCAACATAATACTCTTAAAATGTCTGTAAAAGAACACCTTACAGGGAGTTAAAAAATGTATAAAATTAATCTTGGCACATCTTACTTACACAATTAGCCTTTCACAGTCTGCACAGATATTCTGTCCTGGAGGTAGAATCTTGAAAGGGTCTTCATGGGGGGTAGTGGGAGTGGACTTTGTCTCAGGGGCAGAAACATGACGCAAACCAGACACTGGAGGAGATGTCACAGAGCCTGGTACAGGTGCAGTATCTGGTGGATATACACCACAAGGTCTTGATAATGTGGAAAATGAATTAATAAATAAAAGAAATCCCATTCAAAATAACTGTACTCTCCAATACTTTAAGATAAAAATAAAATAATTAAATGCTATTGGCATATCAATACAAATTTAAATATTCCCTTCTAACTTCAAAGTATTTGGCCAGAATAATATTACAAAAAGTAATATTAATAATAATAATAATTATCATGGGCATCTCTGACATGTGAAATTTTGGGGAGTCTTAAAAGAAGAGTGTACCTCTGTAAAATTTTAGTTTGTCACAACAATCTTTTATTGATTATTCAAGTCACACAGTTAATTGAAAAAGGTCAAGTTATGTTACAGCTATTCATGTATTAAGTACATATATTCTGACAGTACAGTTAGAAAGAAGATGGCAGCCAAGGAAACAACGGTGGCTGCAATTGTCTTTAGAACTGTAATAGAGGGAAGATAGGCAGAGGAAGCTCTACATCCACCAAATCAGAAGGATCTTTATAATATTCCTTTCCAATGCATTTTTGACTTTTTAACTAATGAAGGACAATAAAAGATTTTTGTGAACTTCATATCATCATTTTATGGTCTGAATGCTATAACACTGCATTCAAATACTATATTATTATAATAAGTTATTCTGAAAGATGTCATTAGTTACGAGTCATTAGTCATTGATTATGATTAGAATGATATTAGAATAAAACTATGAATGTGTGTGAAAGTATTTGGAGGGGGGAAAGAGGGCAGATATGTCTTACCCATCAGAGATGCCTGTCATAAATTAAAAAATGAAGTGCAGTGATTTGTAAAATTATCTGCCTATTACCAAATATTTTAATATGAAGATTTATGAAGAATTTTAATTTTTAAAAAAATTATGTATGTTTACATTAGAAGTTTGAAGGTTCAGAATATGTAAATGTTTTCACTGTTGAAATAAAAGTAGGAAGATCCATATAAATATACAATTTTTTTCTTGAATGGGACATTTGGTCAAAACATTCTTTCATAATAAAAAAAAAGTATTTCATTACAGAGCAAAAAGTCCAAAAAAAAAAGTGAAATAAATTTTCAAATGGGATACCAAAAAAGTAGGTATCAAAATTCTTGAAAAACATTCAAAAAAGAGCAAAAATTAGGAAGAGAAAAAAATTAATTGAAATAAAAAGGATAATACACTATCCCATACAAAAATTAATTAAATGAACATGCTAGAGGAACTTAGGTCTGGTCAGCAGTTTGATGCAACAATATGCGACATCTGCAATGCACAGTACATGCAAAAAATGTTGTAATCCATAATTTGAACATTTTCAATATTTTATCATTAGTCTGAGGGACAAAGATTTTAAAACTCATTTAATTGTGAAAAAGTTCAAAAAATGGATTAAGTAAATAAATGGTGACCTGCTACAGACCACAAATGATCTTGTCCACATGAGGATTTCAGAGAAAGAGAATTTTTCCCAAAAGATAAAAGCTTGATTACTGGATTCATAACTGAAGACTGGTGAAGGTCTGCATCACAGCAGCTAGAAACCTTTCTTATGTTACTGCTAGAGTTTCCTAAATGAAGTGAAAATATATCATGGTGACATAAAAATAAATATATTGCTATTTATTTTTGATGATTCAGAACATGTGACAAAAATTGCAGAAATTAAAGAACCTTTAACTGATTATTTTCAAACGCAGGATCAATGAAAATTAAACTTGTATAAAAAATTTTTGAAAAATCAGTCATATTTTGGTAAACAGTAAATTTACAAAGTGGTTTAGTAATCAAATTAATATTATCTCAAGGCAAACATTTTTCAAGGAAGAAAAAAGTCGTAGATCAAGCTGTGCATCACTTTTCATTCATATTATGAAGGAATACTGGTTGTGACAAATTTTACACTTTGTAATCGCTTTAAAACTTAATTCTTGTTAATCAGTTCTAGTACTTTTATTATTTCTTGAATAAGAATGCACTGAACTGAATGATCTTATGTTCATAAAATGAAATGATAAGTGATCTCTAATCTTCTATTTAATACCCAATTATAGAAAATGAGCTTAATTTATTGAAAGTTATTAAGTGGAATGTAGTGTTTTGTTCTCTTATTTTAACATATTATTATTCTTATTTTATTTTTTCCTGGCAATGCTCACTTATCATCTATTTAATAACATAAAATAACTTTCATTTAAGAATCACAGACAATATTATATTCTAGAGATGTAAGAAAATAACGAAATATACTCAACAATAGTAACTTCAACAAAATAAAAATGAGAAGGTGAACTCTGAAAAGGGATTCTCTTTCTGTTTTTGATGATTATGGGTGATGGAAAGTAGATGGATGTAAACACAAAAAAGATGGTAAAGAATCACAGTTATCAAACATAAATAACGGGAGATTTTACAGCAAAAATGTTTTCCATAATTAGGTTAGCCATTTCAATAAAACAAAATTCGCGGTCGTTGGAATGGTGATTAAAAATTTGAAAATAATTCAGAAACAAAATGATGAAAGCTATATCTTAGTACATAAATATAGTGAAATTCAATAGAGAAGACTTTTTTTAATTCAAGGATATCAAAAAGAAAAGGAGATAGAGAAATGCAATTTGCATTAATCAAATTTAAATTTAAAAAAATAATATTCATATTCAAAACATTTTAAAAGCTAATTTAAAATCTTATTATACTTAAGTGGTGTATTTGGAAACAAGGACTATAAAAAAATTTGTACATGTAGAGGATAAGTTTAGAAGTATCATTTCTTTAGCCACCATTTCCCTCCCTCGAGCATCTCAACTTTTTCCCTTGAGTTACGCACATTTCACAATACGACAAGGTGACTGTAATAGAACTGTTAAAAGAAGTTTTCTCATTTCTTTGTGATCAATCTTTCTTCTTCTTTCAAAAAATAAATTTTTGGAATTGTTATGTGCAAATCCATTTATACTAAATACTTATTACGTCTTTTGTTGAAATCAGCATTTTATTATTTTTGTGTTTAATCCTGTTTTACTTCATCAAAATATAACTTTCAAATAAAATTAAAACATTTTTTCAATCTTTTTAAATAAGAATTTCTAAAGAAACAAACTTTTCTTCAAATAATCCCATAATTTGAATTACCTCATTGAATTAAATAGAATTCACTATATTTATTTTGTTCCTTCATAATAATTGGTGTTCTTTCAAGTTGAAAATTAGTCTTTTTGTGTTATCTATCTACCACATTACTTATATATTATATACTTCAATTTAAACACAGAGTTCTTTGTCATAAATCAATTGTTATGATGTCATCCAATCAGGAACTTGAACATCACTATGGTGACATTTCAGGCCTTGATTGGATGACACTGTAACAGCCGATGACCTGTCAAAGGACAATATGCATAAATCGAAGTGTATATCAATTGTTAATTGCTGTAATGTTACCTGGTTCACTTTCTCTTGGCTCGTTATCAATTTCTTGCAGGAGCTTCAATACTTCACTGTTACCAGGATTGTAACTCTTCTCATTCTTCTTAAAATTGACTCTGAAGCAAAGAGTTAAATTTATTTGTATGCAATTAATAAATTAGAATGTTTCAATTTACCAAACAAAACATTACAAATTAATTTATCATACCCTAACACTCCGCCTGCTAATACTTCAGCTTGAGCTGACAGAGTTTCTGCAATTGTTTCTTCACTGTACATTCCAACTGGAGTGTTGTATTGCTTGTTAACAATGGATTTTACTGTTCCATCTCCAAGAGAGCCATTCACCTGAAAGTTTCCCAAAAAATATTAAAAAGAATGCATTTATAATATATAATATTTTTGGAATATACCAAAATCCAAATCTAATATTTGAATTAATTGAAGCCTAGTAGCCCATGAAATAGCCACCCAGCAATTTCATAAACACAGTCTGGATTTGCATGCATTCTTTTTGTATTATATATTACTTGAAAACTTATTAAATTTCATTATGAATAACCACCTTTTAAAGCTTTCTTGCCCTATATATATATATATATATATATATATATATATATATATATATATATATATATATATATATATATATATATACATATTCATAATTTTAAAATCTAAAAAAATCATCCAACTGTATTTTAACTGATTCAAATACTTGTCAAAAGGATGTTTAGTCTGAAAGAAAATGTCTAATTTCACAGCACAGTACAAACGAGCAGATGTTTTACGTTAAATAATATCTTATTGCCTGCTCTACCACTAAATGAAAAGTAGGTACCTATTTACTAGCTATTCACAGAAAATTTGCCAAATAGCACTTGTTGCTCCTCATTTTTAACAGATTCTAATTTCAAAAATAATGATTGTTTTGTTCTATTTCTCTCCAACACTCCACTTCATAAATTATTGAGGTAAGAACTAACAAGACAGCACATAATGAACAGTTAATTTAATTACTGTATTCAACAAAAGAAAATTACATTTTTACAAAAATAAAATTGTTTGCAAAACATGTATTCCTATCAACACACGTTTTCTTCAAGTTCCCACACTCAATATTTTATGTTTTGCTTTGGTTTTTGGTAAAAAATATTCTTGAACTGTAATTTTGAAACTGCATATTTTAAAGATTTTTAATGCATTTTATATGACAAACTATTTTCCCCTTCGTCTGCATTTAAATCCGGGCGGACTCTATTCATAACAAAACAGTACCTGGGCACCACCGAAGGGTTTGGCAGCTACATTGTGACCGGAAGCGATGGGGGCAGCCGCTTGAGGCCGAGCCGCGAGAGACGTCTTGGTGACGGGGGCGATATTTCCAGCGGGTGCCGCGCTGTTAATGGAGGGTACAGCTCCAATAGGTGCAACAGCAGGTTTCCATGTGCTACCACCCCTAAAACAATTAAAAAATAGCTTATTTTCCATTTTATATCTTACATTTACATTTTATATCCTCAATTTAGTGTGAGCCTGCTAAAAACGACAAAAATTGTTCTGAAAAATGTCATTAAGAATTTTCTTCTCTTTTTACATAACAAACAAGAAATTATGGAATTGTAAAATAAACATAAAAGTAAGGCCTATGGAGTTTATTTTCCTTTCCTTATGTAATTTTCATAGATTGGAGACAGGAATGGTAATGACAATTAAAAGAACATTAGGAGTACCAGATGTGTGGAAGACAAACCGTCCCCAACACATCCTAAAAGCAAAACTATGCCTCCCAGATTTAATGTCATAGCGATGTATTTCGTATTTTTGCTATCATTGAAAATGTACTCAGTTCTGTTAAGTGAAACTGGGTGTCTTAAAACGGGAGCCGAGCTTATTTTAATAAGTTAATCTTCTATATGTATAATTTTGTTAACATTGAAAAGAATCGATAGGCTACCGCAAAAAATATTCATACAAACGGCCTCAAAGCATCTCAAACACTCGCTCCAGAAGATTATTTTTCACTTACGCTAAGTAACCTGCACCAATGTCACTCTCTAATGCATGAACAAGTATCTGCTTGGACAAGCGACTAACAAAGCCGAGCGCCTTCTCATTGGCAGATTTAGTAACTAGTGCGCACACGCGGCGGGTCCAGCGATGATGTGAGCCTCCTATGTAGATCTGCCCTTGCACATGTGACGATCCACAGGAATGTTGGACGGCTCCCAAATAATCCAAGGGGTTGCCGTAAGAAACAGTCTATTTGTTCTATGCGGCGCGCAAGGACGTCCACTCCTTGACCCTGCGACGGTTTGCGCGTCTGCCCCGGCAGCCATTTTGCAAGGACGGATTGGAATCGGCGTTGGAATTGTAGATAGGCAACAAATGTTTCGGACGGTTAGTTTCTTATCACGCCAACACAAAAAATTATAGATGGTTTCTAGTTGCAAACTCTTTATCTGTACCCATGAAAATAAACATGTATAGATTGTTGTTGTATTGTTACTGATGGTACGGTAGTTGCTTTGAGACATCTTTAAACCGAAGATGTTCTAATAAAGTATTTTGACATCATTGAAACTCAGACTTCCAATTATCTTTATAAAAGGTTTATCTTACATTCTCAGAAAAGTACTTTGAGGATTTCATGTTTTTATTTAGTCTACTACTAAACAAATTTTGCATTTTTGCGAACAGATAGTACTACTGAGTAAATGTCATTGACAATAAAGGAAATTCAATTACAGAAGAACCAGTTTCTCAGAAAAAAATGGAAATGTAACTCGTCGTAAATATTAATAAGCATTGGACTAAATATACAATGTTTTTTGTTCAATTTATATGTTTTTTTAAACCCTCCTTTTCGCTCCAAAATATTTGAACATGATAAAAGAATTACGAGAGTGTTAATTAAGTTGATTAATTTTCTTATTGTGTAAAAAATAAGATTGCATTCTAAAAGGGTTTAATTTCTACCGACGATTTTGTCTTGATTGTTTCAAAAGCGAAATACAATCGTAACACCTTAATCCAGCTTTTTTAAAAAGAAGTTTTGCTTTCCTTTTTAGTAAAAACATTTATTTTTCTGTGAATTTTAAACTGCATGTTAATTGGTAAGATTTATAATGCATATTACATGGCACATTTTAGACATTTTTACTACATAAATCCGGAGTCCGATTTACGCGAACATGACAGATAAAGAATGTCTGTGTATCGAAACAGTCACAAAATTTTAAGTATGCGCTTGAATCGCCAAAATCGGTGCTAATAGAAGGGACCGATACTCGAGGCAATTCCGCGAAACACGTTCTTTGACGAGTGGGAGAGCCCCTGGTAAGGTCGACGAAGATGCTCCCAGACATCAACTCCGTCATGTCACCTTGGGCGGGCAGCCAGCCCACCGGAGGAAAATAAGGCTCTATTTTTAACGCGGTTCACGCCTCCTGACACTATTAGGTAGAGGGGCGACTTTGACAAAACGGCGGCGTTGTCCCAACCAGTATTCCTTCATAACATGAATGAAAAGTGACGCACATCCTTATCTACGATATTTTAACGTCTGTTTCTGAAATTGTGCCTACCTTTCTTCTTTTTTTTCTGAAAATTTCAATTGTTTTAAAAAGAGTTTGTCAACAAATAATTTGTAACTAACGTGTATTAAAGACGCCCAAGAGAGTACTTTTAGAGTTCATGCTTTTGTCAAATCTCAGTTATATCTCTATTCCACTTTTCCTTTCCCGCTGAAAATAAACATTGTTTTGGCGACGAAGATATCTATTTTCAGGTGTAAAAGTGAACGACGGCGAAAACGTACGTCTTCTGCGGTCAGGTATTCTAGTAGAACGTTATTAAAGATTGTCCTAGTGGTAATATTAAAATATTTCAGAAGAAAGGTATCCTTTGTCGTCGTTGTCTGGCTGCACATTGTGTCTCTCTTATTTATGGTATCCAATAATACAAGCCATCATTCACACACAATGTCAATATTCGAAAGAATCGATAGATTTTAGATATACAAATTTGAGCATTATTCAGATAAAGTTATATTTGTAGATATGTATAAAATAAATTGATATAAAATGTTTAAAAACTCTTGCTTTGAATAAACTTTATTATTATTATTATTATTATTATTATTATTATTATTATTATTATTATTATTATTATTATTATTATTATTGGCGTATAGGCCATTACTGACCACGCTACACGATTAACGTGTGTAATTCTTCCAGGATCAGCTTTTCAGCTGTATCCTTGGATTACCACAAGGTTGTTACGCCTTGTAGTGTGAATTATGAGATGATAGGATGATGATGATAGGTGAAGGGACAATCACAAATATGACCATGTCTACGCAGGACTCGGACCTCCTCAGCCTCCTCGGCACAGACGTCACCTGCCGCAACCGTCTGCGCCACGGGGGCCGACTAAAGTTTATTATAATTATTATATGATAATTATCACACTTTTATCATGTTTTGGAGACCAACGATACCGATCTCGATGGAAATTTTTTACCCCCAATTTTCCCGACGATTTGCAGAACGAAATAATGTTGAGACGGGCCCATGTTCTGATTCTGGACAATATTTCCTACCCGCATGCAGTAGTAACCTGCTTTTGACATACATAAATACAAAGAGGGCTTCCGTGGCCGGAGATAACGGAGTCTTGGATACCAACAAGCGTGCGGGCGCGCGTTTCTGCGCAGGAGTTCCGGTCGCCTGTAGCGGACTTCGCGCAAGGCAGTGTGGGCAAGGTCAGTGAGGCGGGAGCTTGCTTCAGACCGCTGACCAATCTCGCCGACCTGTCGGCGCCAGACCACGAGGCCCCCAGATGCCTAGTTGTCGCGTGGGTGAGACGTTCCCTTCCCACCGAGCGTTTCGTCACAGTCGCACCACGCGCCTCCTTTACGGAATGAATCTAATTGCACTCTACGCAGTACAGTCTAGGAATATTGACTTCCTACGCATGAGTGAAAGAAAAGCTAGATTGAGGAAGAAACGAAAGCGCAAGGTCGAAAAAAGGAGATAATGTAATGCAATGAAATGAGAAAAACCAAAGGAGTAGAAGAAAATTAAGCCATTAAAATACGTGTTGAAGGAAAGTAAGTAATGATGGAACGAGAGAATGGATAAAATAATTGAGAAGAAAGATATGAGAAAGCGGAGATGTTTGACACTATAATTTCTGAGCTCTTTGCTCGAATTTAATAGTCCTCACTATTGGCTACACTCTCGCCATTATAATAAATTACTGTCACTTCTTGAGATGATTAATACAATTGCATTGAAAAATAAAAAGAACTCTGAAATAAATATTTTGAATCAAATTTCAATGTTTAGTATATTTTAATAAAACTGATAATTTCTTCTTTCTTCTGATAATAACATTCTTTCTTCTCATATAATTAAATTTGTTCACATTCAACGTTGCAGATGGCTCAGAAGTTTGATGAGTATATACTAATATATTTACCACCAAAACATTTATTTATATAATTATTAATAGAAAAATACACAACGAAAAAACGTGAAGTTAATAGAATATTCGTCGAGAGCAGATGATAATGTGAGTGAAATAAGATATGACTTGAAATATATATGATATGAGGAGCGTGACAAGATAAGTTTGATATTTGTTTTGCAGACACAAGCAAAAGAATAAGGCGAATTATTCGTTTTCAAGATTTTTTTTAGTTTCAAAATCAAGTCAGAACACACGGTCACATAGTTTTATTTTTTATAACTTTCGAATATCAGATTTGTAAGTCGAGAAACCAAACTAGTAATTTCTGAGCTTAAAGTCGAGACTAGACATTTGAGCTTTCTTTGAGCGTTTATATTGGCGCGCTTCGGTTTCGTCACTTTCACGGTTGCTGCGAGCAAGAGTTATCACCCGAGAGATTACAGACGTATCTAAATTTTATGTACGGAGGAAAGAATATTCAACAGAGCTAACACATACAGTTAATATACAAATACTAACTTGCATATTTTTTACTTTAATCGTGAATCCATCTGTAAATATCGGAGGACTGTCCTCTTCATATGATTTCCTTCATGACTATTTCTGGAAATTACACTGTCGCATAGTTACAGCTGCTATGTCAATATTCTTGCAAATACTCGAACATGCTTTTGATGAAATTTATTGAGATCATTCATCAATTGAATACATTGTTTAGGTAGAAAAAACTCGTTTTAGGAATGTCGTTAAGGATAACGAAACGCATGTGAGCACTTATAAATTCGTCCAAGCGCAACACAATATCCCCAGAAAAATATTTCTGTGATGGAGGCAAAGACAAACCCTCATGGAGGCATTCTTCTGTACGGACGGAACGGGAGGGCGGGCGTGGCAGAATTCTTGCGCGCTAGTCGCGCCGCGCCGCGCCGCTCCACGTCCGTTGGGATTCTTCTCGAGTCCTGGCGAATACCGCGCTCTTGGGCCGCGGCCAAACCACGCTCCGCCCGGTCGCCACTTCGACTCCCGAGACGGCGAAGATGCCGCGCTGATTCACGGACAAAAGTGCGTTTCCCACCAGGCCCCTGAAGGGGATCTGCGAGGCAGCGAAATGACGCAGATGAAGTGTAAGAAATGATGAAGTGTATTGCCAAACAAGTTGTTAGGGTATAATGGATTGCTACATTTCAACGAGTTTTGGTTGAAATTAATATTTTTTTTAAATTTTCATTTGAAAATAACATTTCAATTATTAGCATGACGCAGCCTAGGCATGTCTTCATCAACCTTCGAAAATAACAATTCATAACTCTGAAAATAGAAAAATATAGGATCGCATGATAATAATTATAGAAATATATAATTAAAAAATACAAAGCAGCACATTTTATCCGAGACATTTTATCCAAGACATTTTGCCCTTGAAAAACTAAAATAAAACCTAGTTCACCATACATATAAAGCACCGAACACAAACATTATTTACACAATTCTGATTTATCATGTGATTTGCACTTACTATCAATAGGAACTTTCGGGATGAGGATGGAAAAATATCACTTAAATATATTTCTTATGGATAGTACGATTGTAGATATTATCATTCTTACGAATCATTGTATTCTTAGTGTCCCTTGGTTATTTAATGAAAGTTCAGAGATAGACAGGTGTCGTGGATCACACTACGTAGTTGTAAAGTACGGCAGCCT